TGGCCTTGGTCTGCGCACTATCGTGTGGCAGGAGGATACTGATGACTGGAACGTCGCACAGGTTGGCGTAGACAAGGTCAAGCAGAACTACCAGAACATTATCAACAAGGCTGGTAGCGAAAGCCCTATTGTTCTTACCCATGAGATCAACAACCAGACCATGCAAATGTTCGTTGAAATGGAGCCTCAAGTGTCCCAGGCTTACAAGCACCTTGTTCCAGTCTCGGCTTGCCAAAACATTACCAAGCCTTACGTCGAGGACATTACTTACCCGAACTACAACGACTTTGTCAGCGGCAAGGCAAACTACCAAGGTCTCCCCACTGTGGACTCGATCAAGACAAACCCGAATGCTCAGTACGAGGTGAAGAAGGCAGGCTTTGCCAACCCGTCGTCGAGCTCGAGCAGCAGCAGCAGCAGCAGCGGTAGCAGCAGCTCGAACAGCAACTCGAAGAGCTCTGCTGTCGGTATGCTAAGCAAGGACATGCTTGCTACGTCGCTTATCAGCACCATGGTGGTGGTGGCTACGATGATGGTTCTGTAATTCTATGAAATATGATAAGTATATTGAGAATGTGGATAGAATCATTTCTAATGCAATCTTTATTTTCTTTTAGATGATCGTGGGTCTCTCAACGTAAAATGCATGGATTGCTAGCTAAGTGAGATTCATGTAAACCGATATTATCGCTAAACGTTCGTGGTCCAAGCTATGTTTTCACAAGTAAAGGTATTGTGATTACCTAGTTGTAATCTCCAACCGTATGAAGAATTATACGTTTTCTTAGAGGTTGATAGTATTTGTTGCAACAAAAGAGAATCTGACATCTTTCGAGAGGGATCGTCAGCATGTGAAAGGTGTGATAAATTCTGAATAATTTATATAGCCTCTATTAATTATGGCTGTACGAACCACTTAACTTTTGCAATGCCATCGACTATTATATCTATGAATTTTGCCAATACAAGGCTGGAAGACGGAGACACCAAATGTATCCGATACAGTACTGACCTCTGCCAAGAAGCCATGAAAATGAGACGTAATAAAAAAAAATAAAATTGCACCTCCCACTTATGATCGGGAAGGTACTTGGCATACAGCAATACTGCCCGTTGATTGTACCGAATACATTGCCCCAGTGAACGCTACAAAACATATTTAACGGTCTTGTATGAACTCATAAGCTCCTCCTATCCCGCCCCTCCTACCACGTCGACTATGCAACTGACTGGGAAGTTC